AGCCCGGGCCGGCGCTTCTGCCCGGGGCCGCTGGGCCGTGTCCCCGCAAGTCTGGTTCGGTTTCCTCGACAGCTGTAGTTCCTCCAGCCTGTGGGAATGGAGCGGTGTGGCGTTGAGAGAGAGACGGGGGGGTGGGCAGAAGCGGCAGCGTGGGGGCTGCCAGCGTTGGAGGGAATTCTGGTCCGAGGGTTGACGTCTGTCTGTCTGTCTGTCTGTCTTTCTGTCTTCCTTCCTCTGTAATGATGGCAGCAAGCGCCAGCAGCACGGGCCTTTGTCGTTTCCCAAGAAAACTTCAAACCCAAACGCCTCGTTCCACTGCCATCGTTCTCAGTTGTCCTTAACCAGCCGGTGAAACCCATAACCTGTGCAGCTGGGGCAGACCTTTTCTGATGCAATGGGAACTATGCCGTGAGGACTGGTCAGACCTGGCCGTAGCCATGACGGAGCCCCACAGGGTTTCATTCACCACTCTCCACGGTCCACTGAGCAGCAGCTTCTTGAAAAGGTCTCGGAAAGACGATGGAGAGCAGCCCCAGGACACCTCTCTGCGGCGCTGAAGGACTTGTACATCAACGTGAGGCTTGCGCTGTGGCAGCCCTGTCCCTGGTGTGAGTGGCTGCACAGGTGATGAACCTGTTGCATGAGTCTTTCTGCTTCCCCTCAGTTTCAGGTTGCAGAGCTGCAAAGAGCTTTAGCTTCGGATCCTTGGAGTAGGGGCCATGGGTGGAGGGACGGTTGCTCTGTGGAGGGCAGCTACACGCTAGACCTTAAAAATGGAATCCATGGCTCAAATCAATTGTGAAGTTGAGTTGAGCGGCAGAGAAGCGTGCAGAATAGCAGTCGTGTATCCTCAAGCCTCCCTGGTTTCCAACAGATGGGTATAGTTTCCTCTGCTCCAGCAGAATCTCTTTAGGGCAGTTCCGTTAAACATCATCCAACTTTCCATCATTCCCCAGCTGTTGTTTCATGGGCAACAGTTATTAAATCTGACATAGGAGTCGTGGGACAAATGCATTCAGAAAGCAGAGAGGATTACAGAAAAGGGACTGAAACTTAAAATTTCAAGTTGGGTAAGTGAACACCTGATAGCTAAGTTACCTAAAAACAGAGAGACATAACTGAATGAAAATGCCTTGTGTCATTTAGGGCATCCGATACCAGGTGAAGTGTCAGGACTTCAGTCTTATCCTTAACTCTCAGGTATGAGCTTAGGATCATAGAGTCATAGAATATGTCAAGTTGGAAGGGACCCATAAGGATCTTCGAGTCCAACTCCCTGCTCCTCGCAGGACAACCTAAAACTAAACCCTAGGACTAAGAGCATCGTCCAGACGCTCCTTGAACTCTGACAGGCTTGGTGCCATGACCACTTCCCTGGGGAGCCTATTCCAGTGACCGACCACCCTCTCGGTGAAGAA